ATATATATATATACATTTATTAATATATAGTCTCATCAAGACCTTCATGATTCCATATCTATGGTACCAATGGGACAAGGAGACTTGGCTGATGGCTAAAAGAAATCTAGAAAAAGAGCCCAAAGTTGCTGAAATGTTTTAGTATCCTAATAATCCAGCAGAATACCTTAAAAGACGGATTTCATGTATTTTTTCTTGGAAATATTACATAAAAAATTGTGCACGGAATGTGTATAATGTACTATATTTATTGATATTTGACTTTCTCATACATATATGAGATGTGCAAAGAATTTTTAAACTTTTAAACTATACAATCTAAAGAAAAGAAAAAATGTTATACTAATTCTTATTTAATCCTGATTGACTCTCTGAAACCCTTCCACGTACCCTAGGTTAAGAAACCCTACTCTTAAGTAACAGTAAACATGAAGTCCTCTGTAGCAGCAAAGTCAAGGTATTGGGATACTGCGCATAAAGTCCTTTGGTTAACGGAAACAATGCGCTACTTGACTGAGACCTGGGCCAGAGAAGTTTGGAAATTGCCTACAGCATCACCCAGTGACCCTTGCCTGGAAGTGACAACCACTAAGCTTGCTAAATGAACTCAAGAGGTGATGATGCAACTGTCTTAGGTATTTATTATTTTTCTAAAGTTCACTTTTAATGATGGTGAAAAAAACATCATAATCGCAGGGTCAGCATTATATGAAAATACAATACAAACACCCAAAATACATTCTGAAGTCAGTGCTAAGCTAAACGCTGGTGATCAGTACTTTGCTTGCTTCAATAGATATGTGATTAATGCTGATCCTGTTTTCCTCGCTGTATATTGTAATGTAACACCGATTATATGCTGAAGGTGTCATAAATCTTGGAGAGAGGTATTGACAGTAAATACGATTACAATCCAGCACAATTTGCATACAGAATCAAGTTCAGGGTCATTAAAGATGAATTCATTGATCTGAGCTTTGAGATGCTAAAACAAAGTTCCTAATTTCAAGCCAGAACCGTCATTTCTCCAATGTTTATACTTATGAAGGGAGAACCTAGTTCATACAAAAGTTGTACAGTGAAAGAAATTGTGTTTGAAAGGTAATGTGTAACACTATTCCAGGTCATAGTCAGGAGTATGAGCCACTAAATGAGCATTTGAAACACTCGCACTTTGGCATCTATCAAAAATCTTGGAAGGAAAATTTTAATAAAGGTATTTTATACAACAATGCACAATGAACATAGCTGCAAACGTTGGCGAAATATATATAAGCTGTATTCTATGACTGTCTTTGTTATCATTTCAATGAGCCATGTAGATTATATATGTACAAATGGTGTGAAACTTAACATATCAAATCTCTGTTTTTTTGCAAAAAGATCATACATTTCTTAATAATCAATAACAAAATAATTTGTAAACACATGATTTTATTTGAAACTCAAGCAAAAAAAACATCTATCATTATGCAAATTTGCACCAGTGCAAATCCTAGATATCATTTGATTGATAAAAATTGCATTTCTCAAAAGAAAAACATTTGGAATCACTTGAAATTATGTGAATCTTTAACATCTTTAAAAATGACCAAGTATTGAAATACCATAACACACACACACACACACACACACACACACACACACAACACACACACACACACACACACACACCACACACACACACACACACACACACACACACAAACAAACACACAACACACAAACACACACAAACACACACATGCAAACACAAACACAAACACACATGTACCTGATACTTTCTTACTCAATCTACAGCATACACTTTTTAACCTATGAAATACTTGGTTAATCTTTACAGCAAGGACGCACTAAGTTCAGGCAAATTGAATAAATTCTTGTAGAGGGCAAAAAGTTGCCTTCAGTATGAGAAATAATCTGTAGACACGAACAGTAATACCAAAAATGAAGGTAAAAGATCCCAGATGGAACCACTCAGCCTGAGTTTCAGTTCTATCCTGCTTTGCATACGAGGTAAAGACATTGTTTCCTACAGGACGGGGGGGGGGGGGGGGAGAGAGAGAGAGAGAGAGAGAGAGAGAGAGAGAGAGAGAGAGAGAGAGAGAGAGAGAGAGAGAGAGGAGAGAGAGAGAGAGAGAGAGAGAGAGAGAGAGAGAGAGAGAGAGAGAGCGCCTTCGGGCAGTGCTTGAAGGGCAGGTTCAGTCACAGCAATTTAGAATGATGAATAATTTTTGTGACGTGGAGCTGGGGACTTAGTCTCTGGTGACTGCGTACATACTATATAGCTTAAATACCCTTTATCATCCTACCCTACGGTGTGCAGTTATGAGATCATTCCTTTTTCCATTTGTTCCTTTTGGTAAATGTATCACATGGTCCTGGGTTCGCGCCTGGCTGCCCCTCTCAGTCGACTCAGCTGTGAATGAGCACTGGTATGCTGACGTCAGCATGCTAGGGTCAAAGTCGGGGCGGAAAGGAACTGGCCACCCTACAGCATCATCCCGCGGCTTAGTAGGCATGTTTCTCTACAAAACATGTCCCTTACGTCCAGATGGATACGAGACCAACTTTGACTTTTGAAATGTATATAGGGTACAAAATTAGTGGCATTCAAAATGGAATTATATACTCATGCTTATAATGTTTTTTTTTTATTCTTTCCAATTCCCCTTGAATTAATATAAGTGATTTGTGATAGATGGCCTATCATCTTATGTCTTACCCCCATACACAACGAAACACACAACCGTTCCATATTAGAATTCGGCGGATTTCTGCCATAATTATATGGCAGACGGGCCTTGGCTTTTTCCATACTTCACCACACACAAAGCCTGAAATTTCCCATAATAACACGTTTTGGCATACATCATGTGCAGTTTATACAAAGCTGGCATACTGTATGCTGGCAACGCTATGCTTGATGACATGGCAATTGACATTAACTTCTCTTTGTATATTCGAAAGTCTAACCTTGATATAATCTTACAAAATAAAGTGCAGAGTATTGAACTTGACGTATTAATCTTTATTCATTTTTCTTATTGCTACTATACTGATAATATTGATAACACTTTAATAAACGCAATGTCAATAATAATACCAGTAATAGTTAAGCTTCAACCAGCCATCTTCTAAAAGAAAAAATCATATATGCAACAACAGTAATAAAATTAATGGCATAAGAAAACTTAAAACATTTTTCCCAAAGGCTGGTGTTACACATACGGCAGCCTTATCCAATTTCTCGCAGTTAGGTATACAGCAAACATATGCTCATGAACATGTAAACGTTTTTTCCAGGTAATATGTACGAACCTAACCCAACCTAATTGAGAGTGATATCATCTTCTCGTGTCAAGACCGCCGCCATATTGCTTGTTTCCCCACACGTGTACGACACCAATCAGGGGCTTTTCTGCCATACTCCTGGTCACTTTCTTCCCAAAAGTTCAAGTAATGGGGATGTCTAACGATGAAAGGTAGGCCTACTAATTGACTGTTCGGTGACTATGCATTTGAGAAGCCATTTTTATGTAAACAAAGTTCAAGAAACAATACTACATTGGACACTCTAATTACCCGGCACCAACGAGCTAATGATAAATTCCTTGGAAGGTCTACAAGCTCTTATTTGATTGGAATATAAGTAGTATAGATTTTTTCGAAATTTCCGGAATACGGAGAGGCACGAAAGTCTTGCATCTCGGTACGAGCCTAATGCCAGACTTGTCGTTGTCGTCTAAAACATTCAGCCTTTATAATCATCTTGAAGTCAAATATTCCGAGTATTATTTGATGAAGAATAAGTTTCTATTTTTCGAATCTGGCCAAGTCTGTGTTATGGCTCACACTCAGCCACTCTCCCTGTCCCATGACTCAAAAAACATGATTCACCCTCAGCCCCTCCAGATGAAAAATATGGTGTATGTATTTATTACTTCTCATCCCTTCTCCTGTCCTACATGCCCTGCAACTCCCAACCAGAGAGCAGGCCTTCGAAAAGCACCGAGGGAAGGAAGGCCCAAGAGACCCATTTCTCTCGCTCGGCTGACATAAAGAAATTCGTCAGTGCGGGTCTGGCCTTGCTGACACTGGCCTCCCTTCACCCTGCTCAGGCCTCTGGGTCAGCTGTCTGGCGCTGGGAGAGGCCACTGGGCTGACCCACGGCGGCCATGGGGAGGGAGCGAGGCGCAGGGGTAAGAAAGCGTGAAATGTAGGCGTTGTAGGGCGTCCGGGAGTGAGAGGGAGATGGGCGAAATGGGCTGGGTCGACCTGCCCCTCACTCCATCACTCCCCCAGCAGTTTCTCACCTCAAGAACAGATGATCAGCCTGTTGCTTGACGCGCTTCAGCTGTCGTCCAAAATTCATGGTGTATGGTGGACCTATTCACATATTCTTTAACGATAGGTTTGCACATTAATGGTTTCTAGCGAAGTTTTTATCATGACGAGAAACACAACACCATCCCACCTCAGCACCCGAGGAAAACTGTCGTGTTTACATCGACAAAAACTATTGTTTGACTCATATCTTCCCACGATTATATTACACTGGCGATGACGACATTTCATCGAGGTCTTTTGATCTTTCCAAAAGTTGATGGTGACGGTGACATATTTATTTCCATCAGAGAGAAACAATATTTTAGAGATAAAAAAAATGTCACGAATAATACACGGTTTTCATTGGTCCATTGTCCCGCGCGCCAGCCAATGAGAACGCCCGAACCTGAAGGGAGTGCCGGAGCAAGGTCGGCGCCAGATTCAAATCGAGAGCTCGCTCGACATTTAACTCTATTAAGTTGCAGAGGCCTTGTAATAGCATTAGTCGACCCCACCATAGGAGTTAAATGCAAAACTAGGCTAATGAGAGGAGGGTAGGCGTCATATATTGAGCAAATGCGCCCGTGCGAAGACAGGTGTTCGTGACGAGCAGGTGGACATCGATCGCACATGCGCCGCTTCAACATTCCATTCGGGTTATCTGTCCTGCG